AAGAGGGATGTAGTTCTCCTTAGTATCCAGTGGCATACTGTCCAAGTCTGCATAGATTGTCTTGGACTTCATCCAGTATCTCAAATAGCATCAAGTGCTTATGATGAGATGACAGGTTTGTGCTTCATAAGGCTCACCCAAGAGTGCTGTTTGGATTAAAAGTGTACCATTTCTATAATGTGTTTCTTTTGCTTGAGTTCAGAGCAAATAAGGCAAATCACTGAGGGGAAAAATGTAGGGGATAGACCTGCCAGCTAGATGTCAATAAGTTGTGTTCTCTGTTTTTTCTCCTGAATTTCAGCTCCAGTAAAGTAAACATGGGGTGTCATGGAAGTTTGCAATGGCCCTCAGCAAAAATCACTGCAGACAAATCAATCCTCACAGTATGTTAATTCTTAGGACTTGAAGGCAGAGATCCAGTGCTATTTTTCTCTCTAAAGTGGCCAGTTGCTAAAACATGATTTAGAGCCTCTCTTTCTCTCTTGAAAGGAGATCATAGAATTTTCTGCAGATTCTGACTTTGATTTTGGTTTTTATTTTCCAACAATCAGTTATCTATTTCAGTAGATGTTAAGAAAGGTCAAAAGTTAAAGATTAACTTTCTTTTGACTTAAAAAACAGGAATAACAATTTTTTCCTGAAATATTTCCACCCTATCCCACCATCAAAGCATACTACGATGCTGCAGTCCCTCTTCAGTGATACAATTAGATCAGTTATAAGAATAGTTCTTGAAATGGGCCTCTGCAAACTATTCTCAGTCAACAGAAGTGGTTCTTTAAGCCTTGAAACCTTCAGGCAGGTTATGGTCTTGCCTTTCCTGTCAGTAGAAATAACACAATGTTAAATTGAGGTGTGCCAGGCGCTTTTTTTATTTTATTTTATTTTATTTTTTATTGTTTATTTTCCAGCTTTGTCTAGGTTGTTATTCCCATCACTGGCTGTAGATTTGTCTGAATTTACAAGATTATGTGACTGTCTAGATCAGATACTTTTTTTCCAGTATAGGTACTCATGGACACTGATCACACCATCTCTGTTTTTTCAGTGAGGTAAAGAGAACAGGATCCTTTTGTTTCTCTAGCTTAGGCAGAATTTGCATGAATGTGTGAATTTTCTTCTTCTTTTTTTTTTTTTCCTACTTGCTGTTTCTATGACATTCTTTGCAATATGGCAGAATGAAATGAAGAAGTATGCCTAGGCAGTGAAGAGGAGGAAGGACTAGAAGTACAAATAGTGTCTAAGTGAAACAAGAATGCCTGGAAAACGTGAATAGCTCAGTTATATCTGAGCTATTACTTCATTTATAAAATTGAAATATCTTGGCTTGAAATTGCGCTCTTCGCATCACTGTTCTGCTGGGGAATTACAGACCTGTTGAACAGAACCAGTTTGCACATTGTCCTCACTTAGCTGTTGTTTTTTTCCAGAATCAAAATTAAAATATGGTGCTTAATGTTGCTCTGCATAATGCTGTATGACAGAATCATCTGAGTATGTCATGGAAGTAACAACTCCAAGGGTCATCTTCTGTTTATCTTCAGCTCTGTCTACTGCTTTGTCTTGCCAAAGGCTATTTGAGTGTGACATTTGATTACATTTGTATCCATTCTACCTTCCAGTGGTCACTAATAGAGACCTTGGATTGTGTTAGGAGTTGTGGAAGGAGGAGGAAGCATGGTTTTTCAGGTACTCACGTTTCTCTGGTCCCAGGCCAGTGCCTATGGCACAAAGTGAGAGATGCAGTCTGAGCTACTTCTGCTAAGGTGAAGCAGCTGAGGCTCCCTTTAGTAGGTTGCCTCAGATGGGAAGGTTTCATGCTGATGCTGCTACAGCATCATGTGTAACAGACACTCTCCTGCTTTTGTCCAGCATTTGAGAGCATTGCAAGCATGCCTTAGGCACCAAATGTGGAAAGCAAGTATGGTGAAGAGATTTTTTGCATACTTTGAGAACATGCATCCCATATACAGTGCTCTGGGTAGTTGACCTACCTATCTCACTGTGTTTTGCTGTGAATGAATTTTTTACAAATCAAATCCAAGTTTAGCTGTTCTATTTTTTCTTAACTCACAGGCAATGCTGGAGTCCTCAGGGCTAGTTTCTGTCTTTATGAACTGTGGTCTTTACAACTCCCTAGTTTAAGTGAAACCTTTTTGAACTATTTCTTGGGTTGGGGCTGAGAAAAAATAAAATGTTCAAAACCACTTTTTCATTATTTGATCATTCTGCTCCCAAAGGGGAACAAGAACACCTTTGAAATTGTGTATTTGGAAGAAATACTTGGGGGAACCAAATGCATGGAGACAGTCAACCCAGATACATTGAAATAAATGGATCATGTGCTGCTAATTTGGACATTCTGTGAACCTAGTCTTTGTTGGAACTGTTTGGTTGCCTTCTGGGAGCAGAGACTTGCTCATGTGCAAGCAATGTGAAATCAGGACTTGGTAAGTGCAAAGCATCCCCAGGCGAGCTTGAAAAAAAGTGGACGAGTTGTCCAAGCTCTTATGTGAGAATTAAGTTTAAGAAATGAAACAATTTGTGAGCAAGTAATGTACCAAGAAAGCCAATGTACTAAGAAAAGGTGATACATGAAAAACTTTGGAAGTAACCCAGGAACCAGAGTTTTCAGTAGCAGAAGAGGTTTAGCCATCTCTCAGCAGGGAGCAGAAATCTATGTAGTTCACCAAATCTGGACGTGGATTCTTTTCCCATTTAGGTAACTCTGTGCAACTTTGAATACAGCCATGTTTAACCAAGAGAATTATTTGGCCCAACTCTTCTAAATCCTACCTTAGGGAACATATTATTGTCATGGTAACATGGTGAAAGCTTTTACTGTAAACTCAAGATAGGAATTTATATTGTTTCAAAATGTATATTTGGAGCACAGCCTGTTAATATCATCAATATTTATACAGCAGATAATATCTTCAGACAGGCTGGACACCATCTGTCACGGTCTGATTTCATTTTATGGCTGTAGCAAAGTGAACTGACAGTGTAGAATTTTTCACAGAAGTCAGCTGGAAGTGTGTCATGGTTTTCACATAAGCCTGTGAAAGGTTGTAAATGGTGGTCATGTATTCATGTTATGTAAACAGGGAAAGTGCTTGTTTTGGGAGAGGATTGATTTCTGTTTGTTTGCATCCTGAAACAAGTTTAAATTCTGTTTAGTGCTCTACTGTACTGCAATAATTTATAATTGAATCCTTCATACATGCCTTATGTATCTCTGCAGGGAAAATTGAGCATGAAATCACTTGCTCTGGAAGAATTACTGAATACAGGAAATGGCAATTTTTATAATTAAATAAAACTTGAGCAGTTCATGGCATTATCTTCAGATGACAATTTAAAATTAAGGTTGTTTTCTTTTTCATAGTAAACATTGGGTTTATGACACTTTCAGCATTTCATGTAATGTTTTATATCATTAGGACAACAAAACACCCATGATAAATTTATTCAAAATTATATTAGTGCATTTTAGGTCATATTTATTTGCTAGGGTTTTATAGGACATACAGCTCTTGACAATAGACAAACCAGTTTAAAAAATGGCAGTAGTATTATTGCTTGCTGAAATAGTCTTCTTGATATGTTTGTCATCAAATAAGTACTAAAATATTTTTCACTGAAGATGCAGTAATTGAAGGTATGGATGAAATAGTTTCATGCCTATTAAGAAGATCCTGTTTCCCCAATACTTGTATGGTTTGTTATTCGTTAAGTTCATTCCCTTTACTGAAGTAAGTACTTAGCAGTCCAGTTTTGTACATGTAATTCACTGCCTAGTGAGATATATGTGCATCCTGCTGCTTCGTAGTTGGGGGCTTTTTATCCGGACATCCTTTTTCTAATTGTGATGAGTGTAAAGACTTGAACCGCTCTAATTTGTGTATTCTTATGCCTGCATCCATTTGTGTGCACATTTCTCCTGTGTTAGTGGTTCTCTTGTTGCTGCTTAATATATTTATCTGCCAAGATTCGTTTTATCCTATAACAAGGAATTGGTTTAGCAATGTACGGGTAACGAAAAGCATTTTGACTTGAAGAACCATTTTTTTCTGAACCTGCTCCTTTCCTCTGCTACATATAAACCAGGATTTCAATTTCTAAAATAATGCATTTCAGTAAAACACCAGATAGTCGCCTGATTCTGTAGCTGTTTGTACGATGTACAAGGGAGTGGTCAGTGCAACCCCTTAGTCACTTACTGTTAATCAGTCTGTCTTTTATGCATCCTTCTGAGGTGTCTATTATGCTGATTTGCTGTGTCTTTCACTTAAAACCTCCCTTGTGAAAAAGCGAATCAAGTGAACTTGCCCAACAGCCGTGCCCTGCCCTGTGATATCCCCGCCTGTTCTCCATGACCAGACCTTGTCTCCAGTTACACTGTTTAAGTGCAGCAACTCTGTATTGGTCAGGCCACGTGAAGGTACTGTTTATTTACATTGTTCTTTTCAACCTCAGAGTTAACCAAAAAGCTGACGTGATGCCAGTCATAGTTATTTCTCCATCTCAGTTTAGTTCTGTTACATTTGTCCATTTGTATAGCAAAGTTAAAGAAATCCTGAGATTTAAATGTACACTTCTTCATGGTATGACAGCAAAGAGGTAGTAGAAGGAAAGGGGGTGAAAGGGGAGTAATAGGAGTATGTGTAGCTTCTTTAGGTTTTTCAAAAGCCTCTCTCGACCACTAGTGTAATAATCATATGGAAAATGAAATAGCTTCAAAGGCCTCTTGATGGAGATGAGCACAAAATCTAAGATTATTATTTGTCTGGGGATACAGTCCAGCTACACTTCCATCAGTAATTTTTTCTTGAGAATGAGACAGAATAAAAGCAATAAAAGCTTCTTGCAAATTTTTGGATTTTGTTGAAACTAGCAGAGAAGTTTAGTGCAATGGAAGGTCGTATATCAGACAAATGAGAGCTGCGAAAAAAGTACATTTTATTGCATCCTCAAGCTTGAAAAATAACTTTGGCACAAAGAGACTTTTGGATTTCATGTAGAGTGGGCATATACCCAGGGAGAGCAGCAGTGGTGTTTTGTGTCTGGTTCCACAGACAGCCTGTGGCACACCTTCACTGGTCCACTTGAGAGTGCTATGTTGCAACAGACTGGAATCATAGAAAACCATGGCTGAAGGTGATGCTGAGAAATCACTTAGTTCTAGCTTTAGCACTGAATTGGGTGGAAGAATTTGTTTTAGAAATTATTTGTTGCTTTATGCCTTAAAAAAATGAAAATGCTTGCTCGCTAGGATTTTATTTTAGTGTCCTTAATTTAATATGATTCATTTGGCCATTGAGAAGAATATGACCTCTGTAAGGCAGGCAGAGCTGAATTGGGTGTGTAGCAGCTCTTAAACCATCACAGTTTGCAACCCAGTGCATTAAGCCATTGCCAATTTCAGATTGCTTTAGTATTCTGGATTGCAAACTGTGGCAATTCAGGAGTTGCTACATTCAGCCATCCATGCAGCAAGCTAAACTACTTGAGCAATTCCGGTTTAGTCCTAGACATCACATGGATTACCTATGAGTCACAGAGTGCTTCCATGGCAGGCAGAGTTGTACTTCTGTAGTACTTCAGTCCTGGTAGGACCATTTCAGAAGATTCATATGAACACTGTTGAAGGTGAGCACAGAGTCACAGCCATTTTCCTCTATTCTTTAAAAGCAATGCTTAATTCTTATAAAGAGTGCCTCATTTACCTACTTCTATTTTTATTTTTTTTAACTAAACAGCATCAGCAAACAAGGAATTGGAAACACAGACAGACTAGAATCTCAATATGGCAGTTATTTTTTTAAGAGTGATCTTTTCATTTGTATAAATACAGGACTGAATGTGAGCAACTCCTGACACCATTGTTCTCCAAACCTCAGTGTTCTCAATATCTCTTATGAAAATCAGTGACAGAGGTAAAGTCTGATTTTCATCTTCTGTGCTACAAATTGTATGAACTTTGTTTTGGAATCCACATTTGAAGTGAATCAAGATGTTTTGTACTAGAAAAGACCAACACTGAGTGCTTTAAAGGCCCAAAGTAGGGATATAAGAGAGCATGTCTACCAGTTAGGGTTGGGGCAGCTATTCTGGGAAACAGGTGCCTAAAATGACTTAAATTATTTGACGCAAATTTTGTGCACTGTGTCAGGCCATTTCAGTGTTTAGCTGAGGCCTGATTCCAGTGTGGAATGCATTTTATGGCATGGCATAGTGGCGTGTCTCAGCCCAGCCAGTAAACCATCTCTGCAGGACACTGTAAAGAGCAAGCTGTAATCACTCATGAATGTGGAGAGAAATGCTGGTTTAGCTGTTGAGCTGGAGGAAGCAGCATCATTGGAAAAAGCAGCATTTGAAAAGCTGCTTTTTTCCATTAGCTATGTTGTTTCAAGGACAAATACCCTAATTAATCTCCAAAGCCTCTGACACCTCTGCAGGAGCTTAGGCTCTTTGTTTCTTCTCCCTTTACCCAACGCCAGCCCTGTAATTATGTCAAAAGCAGCCACCTTTACCCTTTCCACACCACCTATTTTCTAAGGCATTCTCCTGACTTGCACAATAGTGTGGGTTTTTTCTAGAAAAACTATTTTTTACTGTATCCTGAACCTTTTGGGTAATACATGTGTTTGGGTAAAATATGAGTATGGATGTATTTTTAAGGAAAAAAAGTCCCCTTTGCTTCAAGATGAGCGACAAACTTGTACATATAGGTGTAGATATATTTGTGTATGGTTGCTGTGGGTGGAGTCTTTCACCAAATGAGCAAAAGCCTTTAATAGGTGTTTGCCATAAAGAGACATCCCCAGAAAAGAGGGTAATATGTAGACTTTTTTCAAAGAGGTAATTTCATTCTGGTCTTTTGCCTAACAGTAATGTATTTCTAGAGTCTTGTTGAAGAAGATTCACAGCAGGAGTAATTTTTCAGGGTATTCTCTTGTGGTATTCTGTAGAATCTGGAAGGGATGGAACCTTTCTCAGAGTAAAAGGAGGCTCCTCTGCTCGGAACCCCTTTGCCTTGGAAGCAGAAGTACTCACTTGTGCAAATATGATAGTAATGTCCTAGACACTGAGAGTAGATGTGCTATGGTATGTGAGAAAGAATATTATTACAGAGACAAAAAGGCAATGAAGGTTTTTGTGTTTCTAAGGATGATGTGGAATCTGCCTGTTTAAATTTTTGTTAATGTTGTGATGAGAGTTTTTTTTTTATTTCAATATCTTGTAGTTACTACCAGTTACATTTTCTGCTACACGTCTTGCAGCATCTTTATTGCCCCCTCTCCATCACTCAAAAAAAGTAGTTTAGTAAACTGTAGATTTCTGAAGCTTACCCAGTCAAATATGCTGTGGTTATTGAGGCCAGTAACTTGACACATTAAAACTATCAGGCTTATTACTTATATCTAATGTGCAGGTGTTTGCAAACTGTGGTGGAGATTGTGCCCTGCTGCCCTTGGTGCCTCCTCAGGATGTTGGTGACAATGGCAGGGTGCTCTCTGGGTACATAATGTACCTATGCATACTTCACTACTCATCATCCAATGTTCTCTTAGTATAAAGCACAGTGTGGGGAGGACTTTCTGTGGTGATTGTTGGCTTGTGATAGAGCTGTTAAGTAAATTAAAAAAAAAAAAAAGACTGTGCAGGAGAGTTATAACTATAGAATTTTTTCTCACTGCAAATAAACGTGTTCAGACCTTCATGCATGTATATATGTATGCAGGAACGATACAGAGATCAAGATGAAAACCTTCACTTCCAAAAAATAAGAATACCCAGGAGAAACAGGCTAATGGAGAAAGGAGAGTGGTATGTGTAGACAGAAATGGGCAACCAATAGCTCAGGGCACAGCCACAGCCAATGACTTCACTTTGTCTGTGTTAGGAGTTCCAGGTCATACAGGACTGTGTTTGGCTCTGGGTGTGGTAAAACCTATGGAATATTCAGACTACTGGCAGGAAAGCTGCAGTGAGTTCCTTTGTGTTCTTTTTGACCAATGAGACTGATGTACTGAAGGAAATGGTTTGGGTATTTTAGCAAGATAGAAAGTCACTATAATATAAGGAAAGGCATTGGGATTGTTCAGCCTGGAGAAGGCTTTGGGGAGACCTAATTGCAGCCTTCCAGGACCTAAAGGGAGCCTACAAGAAAGATGGAGAGAGACTTTTTACGAGAGCGTGTAGTGACAGGACAAGAGGGAATGGATTTAAACTGAAAGGGGGTAGGTTTAGCTTAGATATTAGGAAGAAATTCTTTACTGTGAGAGTGGTGAGGCAATGGCATGGGTTGCCCAGAGAAGCTGTGGCTGTCCCACCCCTAGCAGCATTCAAGACTGGGTTGGATGGGGCTTTGAGCAACCTGGTCTAGCGGAAGGTGTCCTTGCTCAGGGCAGGGGAGTTGGAACTGAGTGGTCTTTAAGGTCCCTTTCAACCCAAAACATCATATGATTCTGTGATAATATTTCTGACTAGCTCTTATCCCAGCCTAAATCTCATGGAAGTCTAGTCTCGTGGAAGTGTAGTAGCCTTCCAGTGTACTTTTGTTGCTGTTTAATGTCAGAAGAGAGGAGACATCCTGTAGTTTGACATAGGCAGAACAAATGTCATCTGCTTAACTTTTCCACTTGAGGACATTAGAAGTCATCACCAACTCTACTTGATTCTATGAGCTCAAAATGCAATAGTTCCTCTGTGCAATGAGACTTTTTAGAAGTGAGATTTGGGACATTCTAGTAGTGGGCACAACATATTGTTAATGGGGAAATCTCTAGCAAGTGTATGGGCTCCTAAGGGACTCCAGGAGTTGCATTGCTTGTTTATGCAAGCAATAGCTGTGTTCTATAGCTGTGAAGAAAATTTGTTGTGATTTTTTTTGTTTATATCTTTTTATCCCACTCCCAAGCATGATACTTAATTGAATTTTAAGGATTTGGACGGTTTTTTTAGGGTGATGGGCATTTATGCCTTTGTACAGCAGCTAAAGTAAACAAAAGAGCAGATCTACACTGCTGTTACTACCTTCTCTCTGCGCTGCCTAGCTGCCTGATGCTGCAGATGTCTGAGCTGCTGGTGGTGAGTGCTACAGAAGGCTATTCAGCTTCCCTTTGCAGTCTGCTCTATCCTCTGATTCTCCAGGAGATACCGTAGCTGTGGCTGCAGATTAGATTTTTCTCTCCCTCCCCCTGCGAGACCTCTGTGTGCTTTGACGTCATGTGTGCTCCTTTCAGTTGCCATAGCAGCCCCATTCCCCAAGCTCTGCCTGTCTCCTCTGGTAGGTTCCACAATGGTACAGCCAGCATCACGCTGCACAATGGTTTCCAGGCAGTGAAAGAGCGTGATTCAGCAAGCCACTCTTCCCCCCCCCTCCCCTTTTATTTCATTATTATCAGACATTTTGCCTCCCCTTTTTCTGTTCTGTTCTACCCTATCCCCCAGGCTTTTATTCGGTTCTTTAAAGGAAAACCGTGATTTACCTCGAAACCAGCTGCCCATCTTTTTTTTTTTTTTTTCTTTTTTAAATTATCATCTTTTTTTTTTTTCTATTATTATAAATAGCCCATTTTTTCCTCGGCACTCTTTGGAATGTGATTTAAAAATACCACCTAAAGTCGCAGTTTGGGGAAAAGGTTTCTGGACGAGGAGAATAGCTCGCAAGCAAGGAATGGTAGGTGTTGATGCTAATATTCTTTGACTAACTGCTTTCGCAGGGTGGGGTGATGAATATTGATTGCTGTTTAAAAAAAAAAAAACAAAACAGGGGAGAGGGGGAGAGAGAGACACACAGGTTAATGAAGTAAATTGCTAACCGAAGCAAGAAGGCTGCACCTGTCCTTTTTGTGGCCAGAGAACCATCATTTTCCTGTGTTGGGGTGTGTATGATCTTTAATGTTTGGGCGCTGCAGGTGACCGGCGGTCGTGGGAGCAGGGCAGGGGGCACATCACGGATGGGAGTGTGATAGTGCTTTACCAGCTGGCTCATGTAAACAGTAGTGTTTTACTCAGCCTCATCACCTCTAACGCTGCTTGGGGGCTTTGGGGGGGAAGGAGGTGTCTTGGCTTGCAGTTCGGTAGAAATGAGTACGTTATGTGGGTTATGTGGTCCATACAGAGCCATATAAAATTCGAATGTGTAAAAATAAAGAGAAAGAGAGGATAAGCAACTATAGGAGACTGAGAGGGCAGAAGTCTCGGCCTTTTGCAGAGTGGTTGAATAGGAAAAAAAAAACCTCTGTGTGGGGAGAAGTGAGTGTTTGACAAACCTTGTCAGATGAGGGGATGGGGGTTGTTTTTAAGAAAGTAACCTTTAGTCATCACTCTTCTACAATACTTGGGTGCAATGAACAACTTGGCCCACTGGGTTTTACAGAACCAACAAGAGCTTTCAGGAGAAGTGTTTACAGCAAGCTACAGGCCAGTTATTTTAAAAAAGAGAATTAATTATCTGTAGATACTGCAGAGAAATCAATGTTGCTTTGCAGGGAAATCCTCTGACAGCAAAGCTACTTCTACAGGAAGAAATGTTGGTTTTGTTTTTTTTACAGCAGAGAGACATTATTAAAAATAATACAAATTTTGACTTGGATAATTAAGTGTTAGAGCATTGTTTAATAAGCCGGTGGTGCTTCCAGTGAACCATGATGGGCATGTTTCACAGCATTCATGTACAGAGTGATTGTAAGCTTGTTTACATGGGCTCTTTTTGCTGCATAGCTTCATGATATCCTCAGTGCAACCTTCCCCTCCTCTGATATGTTCACTGTGAGTTTTGCCGGAGACTTTTTTAGAGACAAACTGATGCTATAAAAATACAAATTTTGAAGAAAATGATGGCATAGAGTAGAGATTTATTAGCAGGAAAATACAAATTAGTATATTGTAAATGATCAGAGGAATCTGCAATCAGCTTGCTGGAGGACACAGAGCTTGTCCTGAGAGCCCAGCTTCAGAAAAAGAGAACAGGATGGTGTAGGTACTGCACAGGGCTGTTTGTCTCTGCTCACATGTAACCTGTCTTTGGCCCCCATGCCTTGGGAAAAGTGGAGTGCACCAAACCTCTTGTATTTTAACCCTCTTTCAAAACACTGCTGGGTAGTCACTGGTCAGGAATACTCTGGAGTAATATTTTCCTCTGTGGTCCTCCTGCTGTGTGCTCTTTTCCTGCTAGGAAAGGTGGCATAGAAATACCTTTTCAATAGGCTCAGCTAATGACTTTGTCTTACAGGGATGCAGATGTGAATGACAAAGGTGATTTGACCTCAGCCATTAAACAATATTCTTTTTCTCTGATTCTCAATAAACTGCACTCTTGTGCATTGTTCTCTCCTGCTGTTTCAGAACATGCATAATTTGTCAGGGTCCTGTTGTAATTATGGTTTTGTTGAGGAGTATTAGGATTATCCTAAATAGGATAAGGACAGAAATCACTTACCATGAAAAATAAGTTACCTTCAGCTGCCTCTCTGCCTGCTTGAAAAATGTCCTTCTCCTTGTTAAAAAGCTCCTTCAGTGCACACACACATTTTTATGAGCAGACCTTGGGGATGAGTGTTTTCTTACAGGTTTGGGCTTTTTTTCCCTCTTTTTTCCACAGTCAGTGGTTGGCATGTTTGCAGCCCTTTTTTAGAGGTTTAACAGTACTGGATCAATATACCATCAAGCAGTGTTACAGTACTGGGATCTGGCTTGTGAAAGCAAAGAGAGTTATCAAAATTTCACTGCCATGGTATTGGACAATGTCATAAAGTTAGTCTGTAGTTTGCAGTCCATTGGAAAACTCATCCAATTTAAGGAAGAGCTAGAGGATGCCCAAAGGAGGATGGTTTTAGCATTGCTTTTGCAGACGACATTATAGTTTTGTTAAGACTTGGAAGACAGAAAAGCTGCATTTAGGGAAAGGTCTCCAGCTTTAAAATCGGTAACCTCTTAAATTGTTGTTCAGTAAAAACTACCCAGTTCTTTAGACAATTCCAAATTACAGAAAATATCACCAGCTTGTTGATAAATTTTCAAATCAAAGTGAAGTGGTTTTTTGTTTGTTTGTTTTTATGGCAAGCGTTCTATATCTGTAGCCCCTCCCATTCCACTGATTACATTTTGAGCTTATAATAGCACTACTAGAAATGATGTCCTAAAAGCCTAGTGATTGCAGTATTACCACAGTTGCTGCTCTGTTATGTCAGCAGGAGTAAAGGAGAGAGACTTCCCTGTCTCTCCCTGTATTATTGGACAACAATACTGAATATGGATATAACCTGGCTTTCAATGCTCATCGTCTGCTCCCCTTATCTGTGATTCTTGCACACTTACTGTTTTGAAGGCTACTTGCAAGAAAAATGAACCTTCATGAAAGGGCAGCAGTTAAAATTAAAAAAATGCTGCACTTGCTGTGAATTCCTTTTTTTTTTTTTTCCCCTTCTGGCAGCACCATCTGTGGAGGCAGATATAAGAAAAAGTCTCTCACAGAAACAAAATCTTTTGTACTCGATTAACCGCCTGAAACCGATGGTCTAAAACTGAAAACAGCATACAATTTTAATTAGTGTGAAATGTCAGGTGTTAGGGCTATGTTACCTTTCTATTATTTGTGATAGTGAGATTAAAGTAGAGATAAAAAGCAGTACAGGGGATGGGACGGAATTTCACAATCCCCTGTCCACTATTTGCAAAAGTTACACATCTGTCCTTGAGTTGCTATACTGTGTTTTAGCCTGATAGCTGTAAGGTTTGTTAGCAAGCTTTAGAATCTGTCTTGGCCGGTTGTTAGAAGGGAAGAACAGGAAATTCAGGTCCCGGTACTTTCCAGTCTTATTTGTTTGTTATAAAATGAAATTTTTTAACGAAGAATTTGGTGTATGAGTTCACTAGTGGTGGTGGTATGTTCTCAGCTTCATCTCTACAGAAGGGATGTAAAGTCATGAAAAAAGCTGGAGGTTCAGAAGAACCTTCCAGTCAAGTCAGTAGCTGCTTCACCAGGATTCTACCCTAAGAGGTCAGTAATCCAGCAAATTAAGAACTGCAATTTGAGGTGGGGTTTCAGGAAGCCTGAGTTCACTGGACCCAGTTCAGTGAAGTATAGTGGGGCCTCTCTCGTTAAGTAGTGATTTTCTCATGAGGATTTTTGATCTTCTATTTTTAGTACAAGGTTTTAGTTCTCTTCTAAGATATTTGAAAACCTGTTGTGGTACAGGGGTAAGAAAATGTTGCCCAAACCTTCCACTTAATAGTAATCTCTCAATTTTTTTCAGTGGTGAGACACCAGAGCACTGTGTGTTTGATTGTTCCATCTTTTATTCACTGTTTTAATACCACAGCATTTGCTTTTTACCACATTTTTTGAGATTGTCTGTCATGCACTTTGGCAGTAGAACTTCTTTTGTAATGTTTTGTTGTTTAAGAGGATGCTAGTTTGATAAACAGCAGTAATTCTCAGGCCTTTTCTTATGCCTATATGTGTCCATATCACACAATTTTTAAAGCTGTTAATAATGTCAGAAGTCAAATTTAATTTCCATTCCCAGGTATCGATGACAGATGACTGTGTACATATTTCAACTTGTTATAGGTAAAGTTTCTGCTCTTCCTTATTCCAAAGAAAAATTTGAAGATCTGACCCGAGAAAGATAGTATAGAAACAAAAATAATTATTTTAGAACAGTTTTATGACTTTTTTTATCACCATCTGTTGCAATTTGAACAGACTTGAATATGTACTCCTGAGAAGTAGGGCCTTGATTTTTTAATTTTTTTTCCCCTTTTTTTGCTGGTAGGGAAATAACCATGACACACCTCCCCCACTTAAACAGCACTTCATTCTGCATTATTTTCTCTCTCTAGCCTTTCTTCTTTGCATGGAAGAAGGGAAATTTATGGTACAGATACTGCCTGAACTGGATGCACTGTGGTATAATCAGAGAAAAATCTTAAGTCTTTGCTATATGGTGTGCAGATGCTGATATTCTGGATTAGTTTAGTTTTCTGAAATTTTCTGTTTCTATCAGATTTGAAAAATAAACCCCAAATATTTCTTTCTCTTTTTTTTTTTGTGCTTAGGGCTAGTATTAGAAACCTGTACCAACAGCAGGCCAGACTCAAATATCAGCTATGGCAACCCATGCATGAAGTTGATGCCTTT